AGACCGGACATAATGCAAGAACCTGTCAGGAGGGAATTGAGGCCTCTGGAGATGAGTATAGTAACTAGAATCAATTAATTAGATGGTTTATGGTGCTTTTATTGCGATTTATTTAAAGAAGGTTGAGATTTTTGATCGGCATGCTTGTCTGATCGGCATGCTTATCGTGTACGTTATACTTAAATAATTATTAGATATAAGACCTCTATTAAAGTAAGCTAGGCTTAATAATTATTATATAGTAATGCTATTAAAATCAGCCCTCTGCAAAGTATTTAATCCTTAGTAATATACTAAGAGTATAATTAGCCTACTTATATATTATCGCCTTCCCTTTTTAGCAGTTATATAAGATAAGATATAAGATATTATACTATCCTATAATCTAGCAATTAAGGACCTTATTATAATATTAAGATATAAGGCAATATATTATATTACTGCAAATTTTAGCCTTTATTAATTATAATTAAAGGCTAAGTTATAAAAAGCCATTTTAAAGATCTATATCTTATCTAATCTCTAGATATTACCATACTACTATAATATACTAGTAGTATATATATAATAAGTTAATAAAGATTATTAACCTAGATAAGTACTTCTAAGTCTACTAGTAATTTAACACAGCCATTCTAGTAAATATCAGTCTTAGATTATCTTCTTAACACTTAATATTTATAATATTACAAATCAGCTTAGCTATTATATAGGTAATAATATAGCATCAAATAATATATACTTACAGCATTTATTAACCAGGCTTAGGCAAGACTATAATATGTATTATACTCCAGCTTTATTCTCCTATCTAATCGCCTAATCTATAGCAGATCAACTGGGATCCAAAACGGCACCATATCTAATATATCCTTCATGTTATCAACTTATCACTTTAAGCCTTTCTTTTTGCGTCTTCACGTGAAGCACTTCAAGCCACCCTCGATGCTGCTAGCGATATCACTGGGTATGAGCACTACGAACCATTCAACTTCATCCTAAACGACGCGTCTGGTGGTGATACAACAAACCAGCCAGATTATATGGAAGCTCAGACGGAGCATCCTGGCGGCGTTGCATGCAAAAGAACTTCCATTCAGAAGGTAAATCCTCCACTGAGATCAGATAATAAGTCAGGCAACACCAGAAGGGGGGGCTGGGTTATGGTGCCAGCTCTGCGCAAACTACACCGGATCGGGCTGTGGCTACGTAACTCACCTATCCACAGTGATGCATGGGATGAGCGCATTAAATTACGGCTCGGTATTGATAACGATACGCGCTGGACTTCATGGCACAGGATGATCGACAATCTGATAAGGAAAAAGCAGCAAGTAAAGCAGTTCCTACTTGACTACGACAAAGCTCTAGGTGACAATATTCTTAACTCTTCTGATTGGGATTACCTGGAGAAAACGCACGCGTTTCTCCAACCATTCACGTCTACGACCTTGTGGGCTCAAGGCGTGACGGCAACGCTCTCGCAAAACCTCATGATCATGGATATATTACTTCGCCACTATGAACAGAAGAAGGTATCATCTCAGCTTTCGCCTAACTCAACCAACTAGTTTCTGATCCTCTCTTTAGGAGCTCTATGAAGCTGAGGAGTCACATGATCCTCTCATGTTGCACTCGATTGATATGGGCTGGTTCGTACTCGATAAGTACTATGCTTTATCCGGGGAGTCCCCTATCTACGCAACTGCCCTTCTCCTTGATCCGTCGAAGCGAGCGCGATACCTTGAAATAAACTGGAAGGGAGAATGGGCCGAGGCTGCCATTAAGGACGCACTTTCGATATGGGAGGAAGAATACAAGATGGCGCCCACCCTCGGACCTGCTCAGGCGCTGAGCGAAGCATTTAGGTCGCAGCAAGGGCACTCAACCGAGCTTGATCGGCTTCTGAACGAGATTATGGTCGCCGAGGACATAACCAGGGACGTAGACGACTTCGAAAACTTTATCCATAACAAACCGATAAAGATCGAAGGCTCTCCTCTGGTCTGGTGGTGTCAGAGGGATCAGGTTCGGACATATCCGCGTCTCAGTCGCATGGCCATCGACATATTGTCTGTGCCCCCTGGTTCTGCTGACCCCGAGTCTGTATTTAGTGGAGGAAGACGTACTTTATCATGGGATCGGGAAAGGATGTTATGTGTTAATCTGGAGAAGGTTGAATGCATCGGCAACTGGCTCCGTGAAGGACTCATTATACCATCGTCACGTGGTGGTAGAGGGCTTGTTGTGGACGGCGAAATAAACGGCAGTGTTCATGTTGATTCGGATGATGATTTAGATTAGAATTAAATGAAATATTTACCTTTAAGCTTAGACATATCTGTCGTTATATTATCTCTGCTAAAGCTGCTAAAACTCCTAGACTGATATTATCTCTGTTATCCTGCTAAGCGGATATTATATCAGGATAGGCAAGTCTGACGCGGCCGTATTGGGCATGGATGAAAATGGAATCGGCTGTATATTTTTAACCTCCATGGATAATATATTGGTCGCGGCTACCGGAACGACTGCAGTCATCCTTAAATTATGCTGCTTGACCCTCGAAAGCCATCAAATCCATCTTTGAATGAACGCCGAGCAAGGCGGGGTAGTGAGACACGTAGGACTAAGGGAGGTAACAAGTTCGATTACAAGGCATGTGCCACTTGGCACCTGTTAATTATGACAGGAAGGAGCGCCGAGAGTCCAGATAAGTAGCTAGCCCATGCTGTTCCTTAACTCGATGCCTAATTCTTTGCGACTAGGGCGGCCCGCCCCGATAAAAATCGTTTAGTAATGAAGTGATAGGTTTCGAATTTCAGGTTTGTGGGGGCCGATTTGAACCAGGCATGACCAGGAATTAGTGATGTGAATAGACAGACTGGGTGGTGAAAGTAAGAGCAGCGTGTCCGCGTTTACTCCTTTATATTTATAATTTTAAGGGGCTATTAACCTCACAGAGCGCAGAACTAGAATAGTGTAGTAATAAAAATATAACTTAATATGCATAATATAGCTACTTGTTGAAAGTAGTTAAGATAGTTGTTTAATGAAAATACC